AGGAAATAAGAGTGTCACAAGAAACGTTTATAGAATTGTGCTGTTTGATAAAAAATTGCCTTCCTGTAATTTAAATTAGGGAAAACCTTTCTTAGGAAATGAAAGACTATAGGAAAACATTTCTGCCAAGAAAATAAAATTCAAGAGCATAGTAACACTTGACATTACTACTTCAGTCAGCATGTGCAAGTTTGCACTGCTGTCACTGCAGCAGTGAACGGAACCATCAGGTGGTTAATGCTTATCAACAGACTTATGTTCTTAAAATGAAAATATTTCTCCAGTTGTAGTCTGACGTGACGAAAGACAAGATTAATTTTTTTTTCCAAATAAAATGAACTAATATGCTAACATACTTCTGTCTTCTCTGCTACTTTCCTTACAGCAGGGTCTTAAACAAAATCCTTGGAAAGGTAGTTTGGTTTTTTTCTTTCCCCGTCTTCTGATCACTGCAGTAGATCATCTGTCATGTTTTTGAAGCCTCTTCTTGAAATTCAGTTGTAAACTACTAATGTTAAAGTATGTTTTATGTTTACTAGGGATCAGTCCCTGCGTTAATTAAAAACAACCTGTGTTTATCCTCTTAGATCCCAACAATAATAGCTGATAATGCTGGCTATGACAGTGCTGATTTGGTTGCTCAGCTCAGAGCTGCTCACAGTGAAGGGAAGACTACTTATGGACTGGGTAAGGGGCTCAGTATTACTTCTGTGATTGAATTGCTGTGTGGCAGGCTGATCAGGCTCGCTAAAGCTGATCACATGTGTCTGTCACATACTCAGCCAGAACTGAGTAGGTTGATTTCCATTTGCTTTGCACAGACCTTAGGCGTACAGTGCTATGTTCCTTTATCATTCTACCAGGCTTTTGGCAGCAGAATGAAAACCTTTGTTTTTGAAGTGGAGGGTTTCCACCTCTGAAAAACGTTTTCCTTACCTATGTTAAGTCTAGTCAGATGAAGCTTAAAAAGAAAAGCCTTGTTTCAAAACTAACCAGCTGAAAAAAACAGCAGAACCAAACACATCCTTCTCCCTGCTCCCTCCCCCTTCACCCCCTCCAAAAAGAAAACAACAACCACTACAAAGTTGTGGAGAAGAACTCTGAAGTTAATATACCTTGTGAAATAGTGCTGAGACTCCTGTTGGGATTTATTCTCCTCCTCGCAGAGGATGCGGTTTTCATTGTTAATTTTTTGTATGTAATTGCAACGTTAGGCTTAAATCAGGAGCCTTGAGGTGAAAGACTTTATTTCATACTTCTTTTACTATCAGTGTGGTGTGTTTGAGCAGGTAAGTTACTATGCTCTCACCTTCTTGTAATTTCCTTAAAAAAAACACCAAGTTAAGAAAAAAAACCCAACCTTTTAATGTGTTTCTTCCAGATATGAAAGAGGGTGTCATTGGAGACATGGCAGCTCTGGGAGTAACAGAAAGCTTCCAAGTCAAGAGACAAGTTTTGCTGAGTGCAGCTGAAGCAGCAGAAATGATTCTTCGTGTAGATGACATCATCAAAGCAGCACCAAGGTATGATCTGAGCATGTGAACAGTCAGTTACACTGGTATAGAGTAACCTCCTTCTGTGGAAGACTAACAATGCAGAAGAAACATGTTCTAAAAACACTTTTATTTGAAATGAAACCTGACATCTGACATGCTAATGTTCATATTTGATGATTTTATTGCTTTAGTAGAATGACCAGGCCTTTAGAGCCATCAGTGAGCTTATATTGGTGTGCCTGAGTAATGCCTGATTAATCTTAGGTCACCAGCTACTCCTGTCATATATAGAACTGAAACATCTGCAAAACTGGCATGTCATGTATCATGCCGCTTGCTTCTTTTTTCTTTTGGCAAGAATTGTAATGGAATGCCCAGCTGCTTCTGAGCTGGAATCTGCAGCTAAAGCAAAAACATATTTGTTAAAAAGTTTGGGAAGAGTTACTGCTCTTGGGCAGGTTATCTATCCCTTGTGCGCCTGCTACCAGGTAGTTGCACTGCTCATTGAATAACAGGTTTTTTTGCCGTGGTCACAGGTGGTGTGTTAGCTTTGGGGTGATAACTGCCTTTTGTGCTGTGAGATAAAGCTGGCACTGAACACAAAATACCAACTAAAGATAAAAATAGGGATGGGTGGGGAGGGGCTGGTGTACATCAGAATGGGTGGGAATTTTCTGATTTTTCTTTTTCTCCCCAGAAAACGTGTGCCAGACCATCGCCCATGTTAAATTTTCTTTGGTACCTGAGGATGTGTGGACCAGATCTCACCTAGAATTTTTTTTTTTTAATGACGTAGTTTTTGTGAGGTTATGGAACAGAAACTTGAGACAAGCAGATCTTCTTCAATGGCACTGTCTTCAGTTGGTTTTAACTTACTGGAACTAACACATGTTGTGGAGAAGAATTCATTTTCAAGTAAAACAGGGGTTTTATACAACCCTATTCCTTCTGTTCCTCTCCAGGTTCCACTTCAAATACACAGAAATAAAAAAAATAAATAAAAAAATTCTGATTTACTGAAGTTGTGTTTCTTTATGTAGAACCAGGAAGGGCAGTTCCATTAGGACAGCTGAATTGCATATCCTCAGTCCTCAGTCACTTCAGACAGTGACCAGTCATTTGGGTTGACCTTATGCATTTAGTTAAGTGGTGTATTCCAGTCCTGGCTGCGTGGGCTTTGAGTTGGGATCCTTGAAACAGGCTCTGAAATTAGATGCTGTCTTTTTCTAGTGATCCTGGAGTATGACTCTGTTTTTATATAATGAAAGAAAGAGAAAAACCTGAAGAGGAACTTCAGTCGATGCTCAGAACTACAACTAGGTGATTTTACTGCTTTTTACACCACAAATGTTGTGTAGATAGGAGTTCTGCTGAGGGGAGTTGAGAGGAAGATGCAGTTTGTGAGAGAGCAACATTCTGCATGAACAGTCTGAGTGTTTAACTATGAAGTGCTGGGCTCTGGACGACTTTACAAATGTACAGTAGAGGGTGGTTATCGGAAAATGTTTCAGGCTGCATTGCATTTGCTTCACACACACACACCCCCCACCCCATTCATGTCTGCTGTAACCTGTCTTTATAATTTATTTCCTATTCTAGTAGTTGCTGCAAAGGCAACGTGTTTCTCAATTGGGCTGCTTTCTTTATCTCAGGTCCTAAGGAAGCCTGTGATGCCTGCAGCAGTCTGCACATGGATTTGTGGTGACTGTAAGCACAGGCAAGTGGAGGTGCTGTCTCTGGAAGCCCAGAGGTGCACGCCAGGCGTTGTGACTCTTCTGGCCCTCGGGCATGTAATGCAGCACCTGGGAAAGACCAGGGCAAGTCTGCCAAAGCAGAAACATTAATTTGAAATAAGGAAGTATGTGTGCAAACACTTTTCTCCCTTAGGTTTCCTGAAGGGAAGGGAATCTGCTTATCGAATGCTCTCCTGAACTCTCAACACACACTCTTCAGCTCTCCAGAAGTGACAATACTCTCTGGAGAGAGCTGTGTGAAACACAGACCAGTGACAAGCCAGTGAAAGCACTTTCTCCCCCTCCCATCAGATAAATACAGTACTGGGTTAGTACTGGAGGAAATAAAACATTGAATTTTGATGTTAAAAAAGCCCCACACTCTTCTGCTTTCCTTTTGTAGGAAGGAATTGTTGAAAAGAGAATTCTGTTAATTCCAAAGAAGGATAGTTTAACTTGGTAAGCTGCTAGTATACTTTATTTAATTTGACTTGTAGCACACTACATGGGTGCCAGCCAAATCCACACTTGGACTTCATTTTGCAAGACAGCAAGTGCTAACAGAGTCTGTATATCTCCAAATAATTTTTCAGGCATGCAGATGACATTAAGCAGTTACAAACTGGCATGGAATCAAACCTTTTCTTGAAAGTCAACTACCCCTCCTGCAGGCTGAACTAGTGAGGCAGTTCAACTTGAAGAGAGCACCACCAAGGACTCTCCACCCTTGAACAAAAGCCATTTTTCACTAAATTCAATGGAATCAAAAGTTGAAAGTGTCATTTTAAGCCATATTTCTGTGTTACTAGATTAAAGCAAAGTTTCCTTTAAACAAAAGTTAGTTCAGTGCAATTTGAAGGTGATCTAAACTGGTCAGAGTTTCAAACTGGAGAAATACCTGGCTGAAATCAGCTGAGTAAAGTTTGCCTCAGCTTCAGATTATAGTGGCAGGCTCCCAGCCCTGGGTTTTATTCATGCAAGTTTACCTTTGCTGCTCTTGTGGTTTTGCTGCTTTAGTCGGGCTTTGATTTCCTTCTTTGCTGCTGCACAAAAACTCGCCCTGTACAGCTGCTCTTACAGGCAGTATTGTCAGTAACAAAAATTAGCAGCAAAGCCTCTAGAGCTTTCCTCACACCATCATCTGAAATGCTGCTTGGCAGTAACAAAGTAAAGTTGTAGATATTGCAGAAAGAAGGCAGCAGTGGTATGAGGAGAGCTCCCTGTTACGTAGGTGCCATTTCCTTGATAGCGCAGCCAGGGCACTATCACTTCCCATGTGGCAGGCATGGGAACCTTCAAGCTGTTGCTGCATTTCAGATAAGTCATTTGAGACAAATGCTGTGTGTTGCATTAGAGCTGTGCCTCTCAGCAGTGATCACCTTGAGCAGTGGCTTCCAGCTGAGCTCAGACACCTTGGCAAGGTGAAAGCGAGAAGAGTGAGCCCATGGGTGAAGAGCAGCAAGTCCATACATGCACTGTGCAATCCACCCGTGGAAAATATTTAAACTAAGTCTTCATCTCTACTGTGAACTCAGTGGTCCCATCATGGGAGGAGGGGAAAAGGGAGGAAGAAGTCTGCTCTAGGGGTGCTGTGTGAAAGGGCATGTCTGTACAAGAGTTTTGCTGTCGCACAGCTCCCAGTCGCTGCGCCTGCCCCTGAAGACAAGCCAGGCAGTGAGGTGGTGCCTGGACAGCAGCACGCAAGGAAGAGGTAGAGGTCGGGCAGCGGTGTGGGTGCACTGCCACCTTCGCCGGAATGGGAAGTTGAGCATCAGCAGGGCTCGACTTCTGGCTTGGTCTTTGCAGCAGGAGGTAACAAGGGTTTCTCGTCAAGCGTGATATCTATCACTGCCCCGGACCGCTTGCGGGGCTCAGGAGTCTCCTCTGACCACCTCCCCACCCTGCGCACTCCTTTGGCCACTTTGGGGGCGTTGCTGCAGGGGTTGTGGTCATAGATCACCAGCTTCAGGCCAGGGAGGTGAGCTAAGCTGGGGAAGAACCGGATGGAATTGCGATCCACGTCGATCACCTCCAGAAATGGCATGTTCAGGAGCACGGGAGGAAAATCGGAGAGCAGGTTGCCTGACAGCCAAATGGTGCGCAGCTCCTGCAGGCACTGCAGCTGGGGAGGGAGTGTGCGCAGCGCGTTGGAGCCGGCATGCAGGGTCTTCAGCAGGCTGAGCTCACACACCACCTCGGGCAGGTACTGCAGGCAGTTGGACTCAATCCAGAGGGTCTTGAGGTTCTGCAGGAGCCGGAGCTCGAGGGGCAGGCTGCAGAGCTTGTTATTGCCTAGGTAGAGAATGCACAGTTGCTTCAGTGTGCACACGACGAGGGGCAGCGCTTTGAAGTTGTTGAAGTCCAGTGCCAAGATCTGCAGGTTTTGCAGCTGCTCCAGCTCGGGGGGCAGATGGTTCAGGTTGTTGTCGCTCAGGTACAGCTTAACCAGTTCCCGAAAAGAGCAAATGTGCAGAGGCAGCCGCCTCAGCTGCCTGCCACTCAGATCCACCATTTTATCCACTGGCATCTCTTCTAGGTCTTCTAGGAGGTACTTCTGGCACTTGTTGGAGGGCACAAAAGCAACTATGGCTTTCAGACTGTTGCCCATCCTGGGATTTTGTTTTGGGATGGCCGGGACTGCGAGGGACAGGGGCCCACCTTGATGTTCTCCTACTGTGCACTGGCCTGCCAGTAACTCTGTCTTCCCAATATAAGGCTCTGTTTACAGGGCACCAGCCGTTAATCTCAAGGGCTCTGAAATGTTTCTGATAACCGAATGAGTGTTTGGTGACGGAGGATATAGACAGAGCAACTTAGAGCACAGGTCTCCCTCTCTCACCCACACTCCCACTCACTGCCCCCAAAACCATTCCTTCTTTCCTCTTCTTGCACACTGTGAATGTTCTCTGATTTTGCCCCAAACAGTCACCCCAATGCCCCAGCTCCTTCCTCTTGCTCTCGCTGTGTGGCCAGTAAGGGCAGTGGGATTTGACTTGACAAAGTAAATTCCACAGAAGGCCAAATTTTTAAACTTGAATGTTTAACTTTTATGAAACTTTCAGCAGAAATGTCAGATATAATCAAATTGTTTAAAATAGCAGTCAATATCTGACTGACTTTCCAGACAAGTGGCATTTTCAGGGACGTATTTTGCAAGGTGCCAAACACGTAATTTCAGAGTGTAACTTGCCACCCAGTAGTTATCTTAAAGCTTTAACACAGATACTTGGCAAACTGCTATCTTGAGCTGTTTTACTATTTGTGTTCCTAATTTAATGGTATTTACTATAGGCTCTGGCACTCCTGACTGCGTAGGGCCTTTCTCATTACATTGTGTTTTACTTCTTGTCTCAATCCCCATTTAATGTGCTATCACAAACTGCCAAGGCTGTTCTCCATCCACCTTCCAGCTGTGCTGCTGCAGTTCCCATGTCTGTACCTAAACCTGTCAAGAAACTCTAATGGGTTCAATTCCATCAAGATTCTCACTTACTGTGAGTAAGATAAATATGATGTTAAAGAGTTATGTGACACTGTAAACTCTTCTCCTTCTCTCATCAAGACCCATTTTGCTATTCAGATCAGGAGTACCTCTGATTTCTAGGAGGAACATTCCCATGTGTAGGAACCTCTACGTGGTTTGACTTCTTGAGCTGCTGCTCTTTTAGGCTTTCTTGGGGATTCATGTGTGTCCCTGCCCAAGGCAGGCGGGTTGGAACTACATGATCTCTAAGATTCCTTCCAACCCAAACCATTCTATGATCGTCCTACCTGTCTGTTGGCCGTGGCTGTACCATGAACTTTGGATGGGAGAAAACTTTCTTCAAACAGTCTACAGCTGTTTTCTGGGCATTAGTGCTACACTACCAAAATCTGTGACTGCTGAAAGCCACGCACTCTTGGAAAAACAAAAGGCAGAGCAAACAGAAGATTTAGAAAAAAGCAATATCAAACAGTTAAGGTGGCCTGTGGTCAAATCTATCTACTATCACTTGTTTTCAAATGTAAATTCAGTCTCAACTATCAATTGGATATAGGCTGTAGGATGTTTACTAGCCTTTTCCCTGCAAGATGAGTGGCTGTGCCATGCAGCAGTGATGCTATGAAATGTATGGAGGGCTTCCCTCCGGCAGAACAACAGGGAGGACATCCGGGAACCACTATTGCAGCAGGACGGAGAACAATGAGTGCTGAGACCTGGGTGCCACGGATGGAAAAGCTGGGCAGAGTATCAAGCCTGGAGAACAAACATAATGTCACATTCATCTCTGGTGGTGCTGCGGAAGAGAGGTGCTGAAAATTCCCTCTCTGGTGACAGAAGGCAGGACGTGCTGTGCATGGCATCCCAGCAGCAACAGGCCAGTTCACACTGAACAAACATCTCCAACGAGCCACTTCTTTACTGATTTAACACCACGTGCCCTGTCAGAGGATCACTGTGGGGAATGCGTCATTTCTGGATTTTGCAGGGCATCCTTTTCCAAGCAGTTACACTGGAATGTGACTTGACATTTAAGAAAATATTCTCATTCAGTGCGTTGTTGTATTTGTTTTCATTTCTAAGCTTCTGTGGCACCTTCTAAAGGCAAGTGTCTCTCCTCCTAAGGCACTGTAGGCTACAGTTGTGGAAAACCAAATGCAGTTGGCATAAATAATAATGAATTTATATCCATGGTGAGGACATGTCCCTTAGGCAAATCTTTTCAGATAACCTGCTAATCAGAGCAACATGAAAGTGTAGGTATGAATATATTATTACTATAGTGTAGGCATATTTTTCTCAATAATCCATATGTAGACAAATAATTTCACAAAGTACTTTATAGACAGAAATGGGGATATACTTTTTCTAGTTGAATTATTTCTGCTTAATGGAACTTTTAAGTTGCAGATAACTGTTTCTTAGGGATCCTCTGGATTGTAGTTTAATCATTATTCCAGCTTATCAAAAAAAAGTCATGATGACCTTTTGTTGCTGTATTTTGTACCTCTGTTAGCTAAATGAATGTCTGCTTGGAAAATACTGTGAAATCAGAGAATTTAGGAAAGAATAACCTTCATGTGTGGATTAATAAAGGGCTACATTTGCAGTAAACTGAACAATCATGTTCTTTCTGAGAATCAGGGACTCAGTGGAGGCTCCAAGGCAAAGGCAGTCCCCTCAGTAGACCCAGGTGGTGTTTTGAAAGCCACTTCATGTCTTCAAAGTTATCATGATGCCCTCCAACATGAACATTAATGACTTCCCAGAAGCATTTCTGGCATTTGAGGAAAAGTTCCAGTGATAAAGACATTCAGCACAGACATTGTCTTACTCTTGTCAAAGTGACACTGCCCTACCCTGGGGCTTGCTGTGCATCAGGTGGCAGTGGAGGCTCCTTGAGAAGTGCCTGTGGTTTCAGGAAGTTGACAAATGGCCACATCTTTGCTCAGCAGTGTCATTTCCAGCACCCAGCTCCTGCAGCTCAGTGGCTGGGATGACTGTGGGACAGTGATTGTTCACTGATAACTTGTGTAAAACCCCCGAGTCCAGAAGAAATGGGGAACATTACTCAGAGCTAGATAATTGAACAAAAAGTCACAATAAAATAGAAATCAATATGCATTTTTGAGATCGTATTATTTTTTGAAACAAAATAAGATAATAGAGATCCTGGTGCTTTTTCAGATCCAAAGCTCTGCACACAGCTGTGTGATGACACCTTTGCTGAGTTTGTTTAGCCCTTGCCATTTTGGAGGCACATTAGGAAAAGCAAACCATGCATTTAAAAATCCAGGAGACTAATGAATAGAGCTCTAAACTTACTGATTTTAGGGTTCTTATGCCTGTTTTCAATCAGTCTGACATAACAAGGGAAGAGATTAAAAGGAACAATTTTTAATAATTTCTTTAGTATAGTCTGATAATGGTTTGCTTTGCATTTCTTTAAAGTCTATGACAGGCATTTAGACCCTGTCTTTTCTCACAAACACCATGTGTTCAGGTTTTTCTACTGTTTTTTCTTGACTGGGACATTGTTGCTAAAGTAGATGATGACTCCTCCCTCCTCCATATCCTTGATGTTCACTCTTTGCTCCGTGCTGCAGCACATCTGCTCTCTTTTGGGAGGATTACCGAGTTCCAGTTCACCTCCACATGGTGAACAGTTTATTTTAAATAAATGTTGTGTTGCAGGGGGAAGAATGTTGTTGGTCTTTTCCTAGCCTCCTACCATACTTTGTACTTTGAACAAAAACAGCTGATTATTCAAATTTGGCTTTAATATATGCTAGGCTGCAATATGCAGTTGCTTACCACACTTTCTTGTGCAGAGGAAATATTCAGAAAGTCTCAAAAGTAAATTGCAGACTCAGTGCTGAGCTTCCTCCCAGGCAGCTAAAAGGTTTGGGGTTGTACTCTGCCAGATCAGAGTCTCTTTTTGACACCATTATGTTTTTGAAGGCTTGACTTGAACCCAAGTCTCAGACAGGGATGGGAGCCACTAACCTCAAGAAACACTCAGGAAAATAAATCCAAGTGAGCCCTTCCAAATGTCTTGCTGAAAGGTGTGCAAAACTTCTAGCTGCTTATTACTATATGTTTCAGGTTGTCATATTTTTTACTTTGAAGACCCATTTTCTGGGGTGGCTGTCACATTTATGTTTAGACTGGAGTTCTCCCAAAAATAGGGAATTAAACATCAGCTGTTAGGCAGTGACTTGTCACAAACCCATCAAATGTCTGTCTGCTCGACCCTGCTGAAATGTCTCTGTGCAAAAGGGAAATGGTTATATGATGTGCCCTCTTTCTCCCTGTTGAACACTTCTGAGGGATTTCTCACTAAAGCAGGCTTGAAAAGCATGAAGTCCTTGGACCACTTCCTCTTTCCCATGCTAACAGGAGCCAAGCTCATCCCATGTATCATATTCATGTAAAAGACATTAAGGATTGTTATGAAAATGTCTGTTTGGTCTAGACCATGCCCTGCTTATCTGTGCCTGAGTGGTTCCACTGGACATCACTATTTGCACAATCCAGCAGTCAGTCTGAGGGTAAATTAATCGGTTTTCTGCCAAAGCACTGACCTCCTGTGATTGATTGACCTGGCGAATGGCCCTCTGCTGACAACACACCATAAAAAAGGGACTTCCGAGCAAAAGTCATTAGACTCTGAGCCACTTGGAACCATGAGAGTGACACTGTTGGCTGTGGTTTACATCCCACTCATCCTGGCCATGGAAAGGTAAGAAAATGCATCTGGCGTCATGTCTCAGCTGGCTTCCTGGGGTGACCTGTGCTTCTTGCTACTCAACCTCTCAAAAAAGAAACATTTTTTTTTAAAAAAGAGTATATGGGAGTTCTAGAAGGAAGAATCAGTTATTTTTTGTGTGCTTATTTTATTTGCATAGAGTCCCCCTGATTCGATTCAAATCTATCAAGAAACAGCTGAAAGAAAAGGGAGAATTAGAGGACTTTTGGAGGAATCACCACCCTGATGTCTTTGCCCAGAGATATCTGCATTGCTTCCCTGCAGATATTGCTTTATCGGTAGGAACTGCTTCAGAAAGGCTGTATGATTACATGAATGTAAGTACAGTTTTGGTAATGCAACCATTAGACCTCATTGTTCTATTGAAGGCAGATTTTTTTCCCAGCACATTTCAAATCTAGGCTCTCAATGAAATTATAAGGCTTGAGGTGTCTCGTTGCTCTGTGCTATAAATCAGATCATAAAAAATCAGTTTGCCAGTCTGCAAAATAAAGCGCATCTAGATCTAGGTTAGCTTGGGACCTGGGTAGATAGCTGATATAGTCTAGCAGGGATAGTCCTGTGATAAGTTTTATTTTTGTATAGATCTGTGTTCAGCTTGGTTGGGTCCCAAAGAAATAATGGGTTTGCCTGTATCAGTCTTGGTAAAATACTAGGTTTTTGGTAGCAGAATCTGATTCCTTCATTTAGTGGTATTCTATGTATCAGAAACTAGGATGTTTGTGTGTTATAAAAAAAAAATATCCCCCAAATCTCATTTATTTGATCATGTGTAGCCAGTGATAACAGACCTAAAGTAGAGTTTTTTATTTTTCTGCTTTTATCTCTGGAGTTTAGTGTGTATTAAGTACTGGAGACTGACCTGGGCCTCATACTAACCTGACTGAATTTACCACCTAAACTTAAAAAGAAAATATATGAGGTTCATTGGATCTCAGGCAGGCGAGTCATCAGGTCAACCATTTTGTAAGGTGTCTTTCCTGGGTTTAGCATTTTGTCCATTTGAATAGTCTCTGTTTCCTGTTTTACTTGGTTCTTTTGCTGTGCTTATCTAAAGGAAAATTAAGTTGCAGAAATGTTGTGAAGGCTGCATCTGAATAGGGAACAGAATGGAAGGGAAGGCCAAATTCATTCAGCAAGAACTTCTGACACTTAAGGGCCATAAAGAAATACCTATGTGAAGAACAAACATTTCAGTCTGCTTCAAAGCTTATTTCAAAGAGGGATAAATCTCCAAATGATGAAGCAAACCCCCTTTCCCTAGCATCTCCATGTAGCAACAGGAACAGTTTTGTGGAGCTTTTATTGCGGTGTGTTTGTGGTTTTTCTGGTTGGTTTTTTTTTGTTTTGTTTGTTTGTTTGTTTGTTTGTTGTTGTTTGGGTTACAAATTCATTGATAAAGGTCTGTTTAATACAAGAGGGAATAAAATTCTGCTGTATAACTGGATATTCTCTTAAATGGCATGCTTGCTTGCCTTTTCAAGAGTATCTCATTCAGGTCATAAACTGTGGGGTCAGAAACTTCAGTGTATTAATTAAGAAGTATGCACTTGAAGGTACATATTCAGATATTTGTGTTGCTGCACAAAGGTTGGCAATAGCTATTGCTTTCCTATCTGTGGTTGAATTCCAGAAATGCCTCTTCCTAAAAATAGGTCTCTTAATGCTGAAGTGCTCTTCCAGGGCCAGATAGGAGCACTTAAACACTTGTATACGGGATGTGGATAAGCACTGCACTCCAGCATTCACGTGTTCACAGATTATCTCAGTCTCAATTGGTATCCAGAGATGGGCAGTGGTTTCTTCATCCGCTGGATCAACTTTGTTCAGTACATTAGGAACAGTTTGTGCAACACAATACTTTTTTGACTTGCTAATGACTGCTAATTACAAGGGAAAAAACCTAGCCACATATGACAGTGTTTGTGCCACTGGTCGGAGCGCTCTGAAGCCAGCAGAGGCAGGTTGTGCTGACAGTGCAACACTGATTTCTTACTGACTTCTTCCTGACATCAGTAAGGAACGGCCTGAAAGACCGTATGGTCATGTGAGAGCTTCGTCTTGGGGGTGACCTTGCCACCTCTGAAAACGGTGCAAGAGGGTTTGTTGACTCCACAGGGAACCCAACTGAATATTTGCTTTAAAGGCTTTAAAAATGCCTCACTGTTGTGCATTCAGCTGGAGTGAAATCTGCTGCCTGAAGCAACTCGTGGAACCAGAACTTCCCTGTGGTGTGCATTTACATTTAAATGAAATTGCACAGACCCCCCTGAGAAAGCATTGTGTGATGCTCCCAAGTATGCTTCTTCCCCAGGAATAGCTCAGTGGAGGCAGCTGGGAGCTGACGGGGCTGTTCCTCCCCCAGGCGCAGTACTATGGAGTGGTGAATGTCGGCACGCCCCCACAGAGGTTCACCGTCGTGTTTGACACCGGCTCCTCCAATTTTTGGGTCCCTTCCGCTTATTGCATCAGCGAGGCGTGCAGTAAGGAACATTATTCTCCCTTATGCTCCTCATGTCTTGGATACTTTGACCACTTCTCCTTTCCCAAGGAGCTCGCCCGCAGCAGGGATTTGGAAGGGAAGGATTTGGAGCATCGATTAGGACTGCTCTCCTCTTCCCGGTTTTCTCCTCTGCCTCTGCCCCTCATGTCATCCTGCAGCCAGGACAGGTGCTGGCTGCAGCTGCCAGCTGTCCTTCCAGACCACAGGGTGCCTGATGTAAAAGGCATTAAAATAGACCTGGGAGAGCTGCCAGAATTGGTGGAAATGCCTATTTTTGTTTTAATTTGTGTTTAAAATGTAAAATAACCTCTCAGGTACAGAAAAACTGGTGTGCCCTGCAGGGGAACTGAGGTGCCTGCAGTATTTCTATGCACACTTTTCTCATAAGAGAAGCAAAACTCTCATCTGGTTCTGCACTGGGGAGCAGGTGCATTGCTGGGGCTTCCCCTCAGTCCAAAAATGTAATTTGTTTTGTGTAGGGGTGCACCAGAAATTTAAGTCCTTCAAGTCGGATTCATACGAGCATGGAGGGGAAGCTTTCTCCTTGCAGTACGGCTCGGGACAGCTTCTGGGCATTGCTGGCAAAGACACGCTGCAGGTGAGCATCCACCTGAAACGGGTGTCAGCCTTCAGGTCAGCTGTTTTCAGACAGTTCAGATACTGGCCTTGCCCTGGAAAACCTTGCCTGGTTTAGGCAAGGACAGGGTGAGGTCCCACCTAGCCAAGTACTGAGAGGTGTGGGTGCTGCTCCAGCTTTGGGCTACCAAGACAAATCCCAAAGATTTTATTTTCATTTCTGCTTGTCTTCTTGGGTTTTTGTCTGTTCTGGGTTTATGAACAAGGAGCCTCACAAGTAAGGCATTCTAAGGAATTGGTGCAGCCTGCCTGTCAAGTGGGCACCTGTGGTATTGATGCAAGTCACACAAGGATCTCCAGGTTTTATAAACTGAATGAATCCATTGACATAGATCTGAAATGTGGCTAATTTCTTGTGATTGATGGTGTCATTACTTTCAAAGGTTTCATATGTTTTTATTTATTTATTTATTTATTTTTAACCAAACAGATAAGTAACATCTCCGTCAAGGGACAGGACTTTGGCGAGTCAGTGTTTGAGCCAGGAACAACTTTTGTCCTTGCCCACTTTGATGGCGTGCTGGGCTTAGGCTACCCCTCCTTAGCAGTGGGCAATGCTCTGCCTGTGTTTGACAGCATCATGAACCAGCGCTTGGTAGAGGAGCCGGTCTTCTCCTTCTATCTGAAAAGGTGAGTCTTTAAAACGGCACTGCCAAAAAAGAAATAAATTTATTTTAATTGTTGATAGAAACAACTGTGCTTCTGTATAAAGCTTCAACTCTAGAAAGTAATTTCCCCCATTTTTTTGGTTCTTTTTGTTTTGTTTTGTTTTTTCTCAATTGAGATATTTTCCAATGTTGTTGTTGTTGTTGCTGTTGTTGTTGTTTTTTCCAATTTGACACTGAAAAATATGGAATAAAAAGAAAAAGTGTTATGGGGTGGACCATGCCTTTTTGGATGGAGACTTATTCTTGCTGAACTGGTCATAAAGAAAAGAAAAGCTCCCAGCTCAGACTCATCATGTCTGTTGCCAGAGGTTTCCTTCTGGCCCGTGGAGATGAAGAGAAATACTGTCCTACACCCAAGTAGCCACATTCCAGAAAAATGTTGTTCCCTACTCTGGACCTAGTCACAACTCCACTGATTTCTCTAGTGTTTATTCTGAGGTGAGAGTAGCAACTGTCTCAAGCTGCTCCTGACGCCTGCCTTGGCAGCCTACAGTAAGTCTTCTCAGAGGTTGTTTGGAACACATGTAGTGATAATTTAGAAATAATCCCTTTCAGCCATCCATATCTGAATTTATAAAGGGATGTGATTTGTCTTTTGCATTTTAAGCGTAATCTCATCCATGCTGGCACACTCCCATGTCTGTGTTACCTTGTCTTCTGCTTTCAGAGGAGATGACACTGAGAATGGTGGTGAGTTGATTCTGGGGGGGATAGACCATTCTCTCTACAAAGGTTCAATCCACTGGGTCCCAGTCACCGAGAAAAGCTACTGGCAAATACATGTGAACAAGTATGTATGTATGTATGTATGTATGTATGTATGTATGTATGTATGTATGTATGTATGAAAAACCTGGTGAAATCTGCCTCCTCAGGTAAAACCTGCAGAGACAGAAACACGTAGTGATGCAGATACAGAGGACTCAGCTGCAATGGTTTACCCTTGTGCCTTTCAAAGAGGGGATACACCAGAATGAGACTGGGGTTTGTTAGCTCTCTAAATCTGCTGTGACATGGGTGGCTGGTTTCTGGGAGGATATGTTAGTATGTTTTAACTGTTAAGAGGTTAAGGCACCCACAAACTGAATCCTGCTCTGGGTCCTGCTCTCACCTTTCCTGCTAACTCTGATCAAAGTGTTCCTTTGTTCTTCCTCTAGCATGCTCCCTAAATTGATGAGAACACATAGCTGTGGGTGAGGACAAATTCATCAGCATGCAGCAAATGATTAGCGATTAGGAGTCCCAAGAGAGAAAAGTGGATCCACAGACATTCTTGTCTTTAGCAAAGCTTGGCAGCTAGTTTTAATAATTAAGGTTGGAAAAGACCTCAAAGATGATCAAGTCCAGCAGCCAACCTAGCACCACCACGTGCAACCCTAAACCATGTCCTCAAGTGCCATATCCACGTGTCTTTTGAACACTTTCAGGGGCGGTGACTCTACCACTTCCCCGAGCAGCCTGTTCCAATGCTTTACAACCCTTTCTGTGAAGAAGTTTTTCCTAATACCCAACCTAAACCTACCTTGGTGCAACTTGAGGCCATTTCCTCTTGTCCTGTCACTTGTTACCTTGGAGTAACTTCAGTCTATACTCTTGTACTTTAGCTAACAATAATATGATGTTTCAGTCACAGCGCATATGCCATTTGCTTAAAGATGCTTTGTTTTTCACTTGCAGTATAAAGATCCAGGGCCGGGTGGCATTTTGCTCCCATGGCTGCGAAGCCATCGTTGACTCAGGCACTTCTCTTATCACTGGACCCTCTTCACAAATCAGGCGATTACAGGAGTATATCGGGGCAAGTCCATCAAATACTGGAGAGGTAAAAACTGTACGGACAGAAAACAGCCAGATGGGAAGGGAAACTGATATTTGGTGCAAAGAGCTTATAGGGTGAGAAAATAACCAAAATAACTGGTTAGAAAGGTCTCAGCAAAAGCCTTGTTTCCAGAATAGCACTGAACTCAGAGCCAATCTGTTTTTGACCTATCTGCCTTGCTGCCCCAGGCCTCCTCCCAAACAGTCACCTCTTCTCCCATACTCAGAACTGGTGTGTAAGGAAATAGTGAGTACATTTGTTTGAGGAATCGATCTATACTCTTCATGAGAGATAATTTTCTTTTGGAAGATCAGAGGATTTTCAATGTCTCCAGTTATAGCTGTTGGCTCTCCCAAACCAGGAGGGGGTTGGTGCTGATGGCCAGCCACGTCAGCATCAAATGGAAAGGGAATGGTATTTTAATGACAGCTCAACAATGGCTTCACTGACAGGACCTCTCATTGTCAGGCTCCTGGGTGGGATGCACATCAGTGTCATTCACATCAGTGGCTCCTGGCAGATGAGTCACAGGGTGCAGGACAAGACTTGCTGTCTCTTATTCTTCCTCCTGAACCTTATTCCTCTTACCTCTTGCTGTTTTCCTCTTTGCCCGCTGCTCTCTCCTGCATCCCCCCTGCTGATGCTCCCCACCACTCCTTCCTGTCCCTGCCTCCAGGGAAAGAGCAGCTTACTTCTACTGTGCCTTATTGCTGGCCCTTGGCTGACTCCCACAGATCACTAGCACGTTGCCACAGCTCCAGTGCCCCAAGTAAAACTGCCACATACAGGTTCTGTTAACTTTGCGTTTGTCTTTAACCTCACTCAAAAATGCTCTTGGAAGAAAATTATTACAGTTGCCCAGTGCACTGGGCAAAGAACAAAGTGGACTCTTAATCCACCTCACTTGGTAATAGGAGGACTCCAGTGACGTATGTGTGATTCCTGAAACTCCTGATTCTTTCTCAACTAAACCTTTAATTTTGATTTTGTTCAAACTTTCAGACACATTCCAAAGAGTGTGCTTTGACAGCAAGTTGTTTTTATATTGGTACACACCAATGAATATAGATAAAATATGTATTTCCGATGTACTTACACTAGCATAGTATAAACAAGGAACAGGTCATTGCAGTATAAGTTTATATACTCCAGTGCTGACATAAAACCCCTCAACTGGCATCTCAGATTCTGCAAAAAAGTGTCCTGAAAATAAGACTTTTTATGACTGGTCTTTTAACAATCACAGACAGGCAGAGTAAATTGGCTCAAATTTATCCCAGTAAAAGTGAGTGTATCCATCAGTGATTTTATGAGAACTTTCATTTCTTTCCAGCAAAGATTAATTTTTTCTGGATCTACTAGCTTGTAAAAGAATTGTGTCTTGCTTTTTGTATCCTGCAAACAATTATACTGGCATTTTCTACCCTTGTCCTCTGTATCCCATAGTTTATTTTGTTTTAATGGTATAACACCTGGTAAGAGTACACAAGATTTAGTGTTATGGTTTCATAAAGCAGATTGAAAAACAGCAAAAAGAAGATTCTTCCTTCTAGAAAGCCTCTAAAGCAATGACTTTAAACACTAGTTTATAGCAAAGATCCCTCTGAGACTTGGAGTATTCTGCAGGACCATTTAACACACCAGTTATTTCATGAAATAACTCGAAAGGCCAGGAAATTATCTTCTGTGTTACTGTAAGTGAATGCATTATTTATGGAAATTAATGACCATGCCAGAATTTAGTCCTTCTGCTCTTTAAATCCCACTCTAAGTCAGAGTATAAGTATAAAGTGCTGTATTCCTCACTAGCTTATTTTTCCCTAGCGTGATGGTGTTATGGGAGGACGTGTGGTGAGCTGCAGCCATAGGGTGCTTCCTGCGTGGCTGGAGGCAGCTCCCTCCAGCTGGTCAAGGCCAGAGTGCTGGTGGACTTTTGCTCAGCAGACCTTGCTAGTGTAGACTTGCTGGGGGGATCACATGCTCAGTTTTCTTTCTGAGTTGTACAGGGAGGACATCAGAGTTCCCCTTCACCTCCTTCCCTTTGAGATTTGCAAGGATTTTCATCAGCCCTGGGTCCCTAGGGGCTTTGGTGCAGGGGTCTGGGCTGCTAGGCTGGTTTGACCAAGTACAGGAACTGGCAAGCCGGAGGGTGGTGTTGGGCTATAAGTCAGACTAATGCTGTTTCCCTGTAGTAAATTCACCATTACCTGCTACAGAAGTCTTGAATTCAAAGGGCAATATGTAAACAAAGACAAACTGATCCCATCTCAATCAGTGCATCGCATACAGTTTCTTGTAGACTGCAGAAGATTGTCAAGCCTGCCTCACATAAGCTTCACAATCGGACACCACGAGTACAAGCTGACAGCAGAGCAATACATCCTCAAGGTGTGTATCTGCAGCCTCCCTGCTCCCTATTCCTTGCTTCCTGAGCTGACCTGGAGCAGGTTGCTGCAAGGACACATGCTTTCCCTTCCAGGAGTCTATTGACGACCAAACCTTCTGCATGAGCGGCTTTCAGTCCCTTGACATCCCCACTCGCACTGGCCCACTCTGGATTTTAGGAGATGTCTTCATGTCTGCATTTTACTGCATTTTTGACCGTGGGAATGACAGAGTGGGATTTGCAAAAGCTGTTCACAGGAATGATTACTACTGAGTCATAATAGCATCTATTCTGTCTTAACTCAAATGTTAATGTAATGATCTTCAATACTGTGTGAAGAAGGGATTTTACTGAAACTTTGGACCTAAATGCATGCTGTGTTGTCCCCCTCCAGGTTTTAGGGACTTTGCAGTGATCTTTGTCCCAAATAACATAGTTTGGTTCAATATCTATATGTTTACAACCAAGAAACAATATTTCCTGAGTAACTGATGGACACCACAGCTCTCAGGATAAAGCAGAAACAGCTCAGCACTCAGATTTGCAAAAGATCAGGAAGAATAAAAATGCTGAACAGTGCCAGTCTGACATGATAGCAGTCATGAGTGGGGGAAACTAATCCCAGTCCTGCCTGGTCTAGCTATCCTTTTTTTCTTCTTATTTACTAGTTTCCACCTCATTTTCTACAGCTTTCTTTTCCCTCATTATTTTCCATGGTTTGGATTCTGCTTAACTTTGTTTCCTTAGTGCCAAGGAAATTCTCTTTGAATTAGCTTGCTCCAGCCAGCTTATATAAAGGAGCAATTTGACTGTTGCCTATGTGACCACTAATTTTCACTACTGTTCCTTGCACACAATTTCCTGCTCCTTACAATACCACTCAAACCTGCTTTTTCCCTTAGGTTCATTATCCCTGGATATTTTCCTATTCCTCTTTTGGGTCTCAGCATTTAATGTCGATGTCTTAGGTCAGGTGCTGCTTTTAGCATCTGACACCTCTGCCCCTTGGCGGCCAGAGCTGGATGCATCCATTCACATTACAAAACCCAGACCTCAGCCCATGAAAATGCATAGCACAGTTCCCTCCACCTCAGATGTGCACCAGCACTAGACATCTACTGCCTCTTGCTCAGCCACTTCTCGTCAGCCTTGGCAGCCGTTTCAGGTGAAACAGCCACAGGCAGCTGCACTGATCTGGCAAAAGAAGATTCACCAAAATTATACCCATTGGAGTGTTTGTTTGGATTGCTAAAACTGATACTGCACCAGTACATATGAATAAAACTTAAACAAGCAAAATCTGCTTTGGTCCTAGTGCTGTTTCAGCTACATGTTATATTTTCTTCAGTGGTTCCAGTGCTGAAGAGGAAGGGGAGGAGAGGGTGTAACAGCAACTGAAAATTGCTCTGTGTCCTGGAAGGGAAATATGTGGCGTGTTGGCATGTGTCTTCCTAAAGCCAAAAAATGGCCACAGCCACAGCCCTGTGCACTTGGCACCTCCACAGCAGGGCAGAGCCATGGGGGTCTGGAGACTGGCCCCATGGTGGCATTGCTGGAACAGGGGTTGGTGGCCCCCAAGGATTTGCTGCTGCTATCTGCCTGGATGTGATTAGCACGGACCAAAGTCAACATCCGTTGCTGGCCTTGGCAGCATTATGATCACAGCCCTTAGATTTTGAGGCTTTAGTTGTCATACTCAATAAGTATTACTAAAACAAGACAGTTTGCCTGTAGGTATCTCTGACACACCGATCTTGCCTTCCAGTATGAAGTATTCCCTCTCTCCAGTGCCTGTTTTCATGACTCTCTATTTGCAGCCACGTTGTGTTACACATTTGGCATCCAGGCTATCAACCTCCAGCAAAGAAGACTCTGCTGACAACTGTCTCTTTCTGCAGACAAGACTGAGCTGGGTGAAGTTATCATATATTTTAGGCCAATCTTGCCTTGATTCCCCTTTGTCCTTATCACTGTTTAAGAATGGATAACTTATATGAGCTAACTTATTTATGTAGAAAACGTCATTTTTTTGGTCATAAACCAAGACAAACAAACATCTATAAAGCTCTTTCCCTCATTTAACAGTAGCAGGGTTTTCTCTACTATGCAGCAGACTTAACACTCTGGTATATTTCCATTATTTTTAAAATACGTATATATTCCTCAGACATGAGCTTGCATTCAGAGATCTGTTATTTATGGCAAAGGTTTTAAGGTTGCTGAGACATGTCCCTGTAACCAATCAGTCCCAGCAGTAATGTCTTGGCTCTATGAATTTCAATGCAGAGTGTGGACACAATCTAGAAATCAGGCATCATGTAGAGGGACTGGCCCTCTCTGTGTTCTGATATATCTGATCCTGCTCAAGATTAACACCATTTGATAGGAGCAAGCTTCTGCTCTGACCTATTTGGCTAACCTGGCCCTGTTCTCTCCTTTTCCAGCTTTGCCAGCTTTTGCAAGTCTGTGTCATTGTTCTTGGTAGACATCAAGTTGATTTGCACGGTAGGTCAAACCTTTGTCAGAAATGCCTCTTGAGAGTTCAGTACAATTAAGATAATGGTGTTTCTCAAAGTGCCTTTATTCATGCAGCAATTCAATGTTGCTCATACCTGTGAATGTGAATTTTAGATTGTTGGGTCTGCTAAAATGATCCATTTACCATGCTAAGGCAAGGAGTTTACTAAGAAAAGAGAGCACATAATCCCAAAAGATAATGTAATACAAATCAGAATCCACATGTGTTTGCAAAAGTGAGATAATAGATTAAATGAGGAGAGGAATTTTTTCTGGTAACTCATCCCAACACTAGCTTCTTTACAAACAGTGAGCAGAATATTATAGCTAACTTGGAGCTGGCCCACTGTGTGAAATGCTAGTTGTTTATTGCAGATTGCGTTGTGTGACCTCAGAGCTGTCATTCCTAATTTAACATGCTTCTACATGTCTAGTAGACACATCCATAGGACTGAAGCTTTTATCAGTCTAATGGCTGCTGTGTGGCCACCCTTAGCCTCCATCAAAGAACGAAGACAGCGGGTGCTGGCAGAGTGAGTGGGAGAGGTAGCAAAATCATTGCTGATATATAATCAAATGTGTAATGTCCTGGTGGAAAGCAGCAGTGTGCATCCTAGGCAGTGACCAGGCTGAGAAGATGATGGAAGATGAGCAGAGATGGATGACAAGAAACTGGGGAGGTTCTTTCATGCTTAGCAGTGATGAGATGAAACACGTAGACGTCTGGGTTGAGGAGAAGAGAAAGAGCACTTTCCTCCAACACCTTAAACCCTGGTGGAAGCTGTGTGAAGGATTAGTGAGGTGTGATGGGACTGGGCTCTCAGTGAAGATTTGTCGGGGACTCTTGACAGTCATCTGGCTTAAATTCCCTTACAGTGGGAAGCACTGTTCCTCAACCTTATGTATGTACTGTAAGGAGAAAGCTTGATAATGGGCCAGACTTTCTTCGCAGCTGCTGGAAAGCCTTCCTATACATGTACAGCCAAACTGTGTATGGCCAAACTCCCCAGAAATTGGTATTGCTTTCCTGACTTTAACAACGTGCTACAGAGGGGAGCAGCAGTTACTTTTACTTTGTTTCTAGCTGTGCTACTGGAGCTGTCTGGGTATCCTTAAAATGTATTGTTTATACTTAAAATTTACCATTTGTTGAAGTTAACCTCATTGGTAAATGAAGTTCCTTAACAGTTGCAGATGCAATTAAATTGAAAAAATATTGAATAGGAAAGTATAGCTTCAGCTATAAGACGAAACAGGGAATCAGGAGGAAAGAGGCAATGCTTCCAGAGCTGGGTACTGCCTAGGAAGGGTCATTCAGAAAATTGGACTGCTAGGCTACGGTGCCGGTTATTGCAATATAATTTCGCTTCACAGAGTTTCTCATTTTGTTGGTCAAACCTGAACATAAGAACTTGATTTGCCTGAGGACTTGTTGTGGAGTGGCAAGGGTGAGGTTGCACCAGAACGCCTCACTCCAAAGTGTGATCAAACTGCACTAAGCTGCTGTCAGACACCAGTGTCACCTCATCTCATGAGCTGTGAAGAAGTGCCTCCAAAGGTGCCTGGGAAATCTGTGCTTGGCTTTTCTGCATGCATAGAATTCACATAATATGAGTTTAAACAGCTCTTCCTTGGATCAAGTGTCCTCTGCTTCCTAATCTGATGGGGATATATGTGCTTTTTCAAGTGTCTTCGAAGGATTTGAAAGGGTGACTCTGCTCATACCCTGCCTAATATACACTATTGGGATCCAATTCCCAGACTGAAATAATGCTGGAAGAAGTGGGGAGGGTAGTTGATTTTTGTTCAAGAACTACCCAGATGAGATAGCAGAGTCCTGCTGTATGTGATAGCCTGCTGGAAGGGCTCCTCACCTAAGTTGTTGGCCAGAAAAGCAGGAGCTTGTTCCCAACTTCAGGGAGTCCTAAAGACTCCCAGAAGACACTACAGTTACCCTGTCAGAGATGCTGGTTTATTGTCTGAAGTGAAACCTTCTGGGCGAGAGAGCTGGGTAGACTTGCTGTCCATACAGTCCAAACTGCTTCTACTGGCTGTTGCAGACCCATAACTTTCTGTGTCTCCCCTTCTCTCTGTTCTTTCCATCCCTCGAGTTATCTGGTCTCCCCCTTTTCCATGGAGACAATCTACTTGGGTGCTTACTCATGGGACAATGCTGGTGACATGCTCTGGACTGTGTTTTTGTAAATGTGGGTAAAGAGCTAAAAACAAGGAGCTGCTGCTGCTTTCCTGACCTGCTTTGAGACATCTTGCAGCAGTGACAGCTGAAAGGCCAGGTCACTACCAGGAGGTTTAGGGAGGTGGCGTGGCCCCCCCTGGAGCAGCAGCAACCACCGAATGCTGGTGTAGGTTTGAGTTAATGGAGAATGCGTGTGGTGTGTCTGGAAGCATGGAAATGGGGGCAGGGGAAGGAAGTGGAAAGCAGTTTTACAAGTGGTCCTGGGCCATTTTGTTGTCTGCCTGGGATGACTGTAGCCTGTGCACTTCCAGCTGAAGATCTCCACGAGACTGGAGTTCTAAGCTCAGTTGCCCCTGCAGCTCCACCACCCCTTGAGAGAGTGCCACAGCCCTGTCATCACTAGAGAGGCCACCTGGGACCCTCATTTTACACTAACCAGCCACTGGGTATGCCACATACATACTCCAGGGAGCAAAGACCAAGACTAAGACTTCCCATGCCCTACTCATCAGCAGTTTTGCCTCTTCTATCTTTCTTAATGAACTTGAACATTTAATGCTTTTATTTCTCCAGTGGCACAGCTTCAGAGAGGGGCATACTATTGTCTTACACAATTGAGGAGCCTGATTTTTCAAGTGTTCCTCCAGGCAGTAAGAAACAGTGGGCTGAATCTGTCCAAGCTGAGGAGAGAACCTTTGAGCCACTTGAATAGAAAACAAAAGTCTTCATAGGTCTTACAAGGATGTCATGGACCTTAACCTGATGGAGTGGACAAAGGCAGCAGTGTTCAGTGTGGATTCAAAGTGGACAGAACTGTCTCCACTCTTCTGATAACCTTATTTTTTCCTCTATTTGAGCCAACACAGCTTGCTGTCCTGTGCATTGATGGTAAATAAGAAGCACCATAATGCCTCTTATTTAGGTCCCAAATCTTCTGTTGGATCTTGCTCAGGACTTGTCTGAGCATCAAGTCTGCCCTTCTGCACTTTCAGCAATTCTGTATGAGAACTATGTTCAAGAGAAGACAAGAAGTTCAGTCAAACCCAGAGGAAGCATGGTCAAAGTTTTCTTTCACTATCCTCATTAGAAAATTCTACTATGGCTGTTTCTTTACTGTCCATGTTTTCCCATAAGTGCTGCATCTCAAATGTCTCTGGTGCAGCAGCAGAAGTAACATTGTTTCCATCACTGAAGATCTTTTGTTGTGAAGTTGTCCTGGAATCTGCTAAGGATGGTTCACTGTCAGCTGTACTAGGTCCTGTATTAGGACTATGGAAACTTGGTAAACTCCATCGCTGAAGGTTTCTCTCACGATCTGTTATGAGACCAGCTATGTTACTACCATGGGGCTCATGTTTGGTCTCTCCTATCACAGTAGGAAGTGACTGATGCACCTCCGAGCTTGAGAGGTATGTAGTCATTTCTGGGGGGAAAAAAGGTTGGTTCAGAAGAGCCACATTTGCCTCAGCTAGGATCCTTTGGAGCTTCTCTTCTGGCATGCTTGAGGAGCGCTCTGTTGGCGGATCTGATTTGTCCAGCGTGCCAAGTGCATTTTCCTCGGCTTCAGAGATGATGACCTCAGGAACTGGCTTGTTTGTCTCAGTTGAGGTGTCACTGTCACCAAACTGTGCCTCGTTCCTGGAGGTTTCAGTTATGGGTCCTAGGTCTCGGCTACTGTGAAGTCTGTTACTTCTGTCAACTCCTTCGTGTTTCTTTTTGAAGCTGGAGGCAGAGTGTCTCCCTCTTGTGTGCATTTCCTGCAGCCGTCTGATGTGCCCCTTTTCATCTGCTGGGAAAAACACCGAATTCTCACTTGTCTGCCGACTGTAGCGCCGGTGAGTGGGGTATGCAGGACCCTCGTGGACACTGAGAAATCTCTTGACTCTTCTCAACACTGAATATTGCCTTCGGTGTTTCTCCTCTTCCCAGGGCCACTCTTCCCCATAGAGGAAATCGGTATCAGCCAGCCTGCCAAATAAAGCCAGGTAGTAGGTGTCACTTACTCATAGGAAGTATTAGGTCTCTATGCACATATATTCCACTGTCTCAGCAAGAAGACATAGGAACCAAGGCCCTAGTGTGTCCCTAAGGAAGAGCATGAAAAGGATGAGAGTGCCAGGAAATAGTGCCTGTGCCTTTGAACTAGCCAGATCACACAGAGAGCTCTCAACATCCAGGTGCCCCTTCTACTGAGGACCAGGTTGGGAGGCCACCCAGCCAGGCATCTGGCACCATTTCATATTTGGGCTGCAGCCCTTTGAGGTGGCTCTACATGGTTACACTTATGCTTAGAGTGAGGGAAAAGGGAGAAAGAAGTCCTGCTTCATGGTGTAGTTATTTTCAGGAGAATCCTTCAGGCAAAAATAAAGACAGTGAAAAAGCTACTGCTGGAAGCAGAGTGCAACAATTTCAAAAAATGTTGGAATTACTCAGATGGCCAAATCTCACCTCCGGGGCATGATAGTGTATCTGGAAGTCTCACCTGTACCTGGTATTCTTCTCCTGAGTAGCCTTGGTGGTTCATGAGAACAACAGTTGCTGCACCTGCCAGTCAAGTCAGTACACATTACTGACCCAGTGCACCGCAGAGGACAAGCCAAACTGGCCTAGTTATCTGTCCTAAGGGCAAGAATGGCAAAGGGCTCAGGCCTAATCTAAGGTAAGGAGCACAGAGAGCCAACACTGCCCTGGAGGACAGAGGAATTTCATTCAGCGTTTGTGAAGATCGTAGAATAGTTTGTGTTGGAAGGGACTTTTAGAGGCCATCTAATCCAACCTCCCTGCAATGGACAAGGGACAGCTTCAAGTAGATCAGCTTACTCAGTGTCCCATCCAACCTGACCTTGAATGTTTCCAGGAATGGGACATCTACCACCTCTTTGAGCAACCTGTTCCGGATGTCTACTTGAGGTGACTGAAGAAGGCTTTGGAATTGGGCTCAAGCTTTGTATATTTGGTTTGGACTTGGAGAATCTTTAGAACTTGTTTTTGAAGTCTGCTTAAGAACTACCCATTATTTTTAGAGATATACACAGAGAAACAGCTCAGATGAGAAAATAATAAAAAGCTAACACATCAGAGCTGTTTGCATTTCACAGGGCTAACAGGGAGCTACTGTTTATTCACTCCTTCCTTCATATTTTGTGAGAAGTCCTTCTTATTAAAAAATTTGTTTGTGGACGTAATAATGTTTCTTCTTTGCCACCTTTTCCCCCTAGCAATTGCAGTAAAATAAATTATGTTCTATGAGTTGTCCTTCTTTACTTTTTTAACTTTGTTCTTTACTATTCTCTTTGTAATTTTATAGTTTTTCCAGAAGGAAATAATCCTGAAGAGTCTGATTGTAATAAGAGGAACTCATACAAACTCATTGTCTTTTGTAATAGAATGCATGCAAAAGTGAAAAAATAAGAGGAATAAAAATGAGAAACCAGCAATTTTGAGGCCAAATGAAACAAAAAAAATTAAGCACCTTTTATTTTGATAAAGGTGGGAAATGATGGGAAAATTGTAAACATCTTGAGGTAATTTTTAAAGCTAACAAAATGGCTACTGTAAAGTTTTAGAAAAGATTTTCAGACAAGAACATCTGATATTGCCTGGTATTTGTTCAGTCATGATAGGATTTACACTTACTGACCTGTCTATATTACACTGTGTCACAAGTATTTAAAGTGACAGCTTCTAAACCAACTGGCCTATCACTGATTTCTCAGATAGATCCCAACAACAGGGGGCAGTCCTATATCCTCTATATGTTTCTTTGTAGCGATGGTTCTTCTGTTGATCTTTCCAAATAGTCTTCATCCCTTCACAAAATCTGACCACTCCAACTGCTGTGCCCATATTATTAGTCAATGAAAAGTCATACAACATTTAAAATGACTTGTTGTTGATCTTCACAAAAATCTGGACTGTTTTTAGCTGTCATTTGCTAACTAAATAAGCAAAGGAATAGCTATTTTGCTGTTTGAGGGTGTATGAAGCAGGTGTAGTGAAAAAGGTATTATTAAGAAAAGTCAGTCACTGCCTTCAGGTGCCATCTGGTGCTCAGAGACTGGCAATAAACTCTCCCTGCAAACATGCTCTATATTATTATTATACAATCTAGCTATGTGTGCATGATTTGTATGCAAACATGGACCACTGGAGACATCATCCCACCAACACCAGCCTCTCCACTCCCTCCTAACATCATTTCCCATTTCCATCTCCCCCACCTGCAGTATCGCCACAGCCCTGTGCTGACTGTCTGTCAATCAGCGTGGGCTGTAGAGGTGGTGATCTTTCTGATGGCATTAAGGACCTTAGTACCACTCACCCCATTTCAATAGTTGATCCAAGAAATGAAGGAATACAGTAATCAGCAGCTGCTTTTGTGTAGGGAGGCCGGGCAGAGGAATCATTCCAGTAAATATCTTTCTCAATCCTTGGCAAGTTCATGTGCATCTCATCCACCGCCAGAAGTGAGACCTTAAATTTTTTTTTTTTTTTATAAATCATGTCACTTTCAGCATAGCACAGTATATGAAATAATCTGCTTTATATTCCCTTTAACATAAGGTGTGTGTGATGGCCTGGGCATTAGGAAGAGACTCAGTATTATAAAATAACCCCCCTATATCCAGCTATATTCGTGAAAGTATACATTTTATTTTAACTTGAGTCTTCTGTACTGCAAAAATATTTATGTCAGATTGCAGTCCTTTCCGTACGCGTGATGTAGTTAAATGTGATCCTCCATGTCCTATGGAAAGTTTGTGTAAAGTATTAGCTGTGCTCCTTAAAATGTCTGGAGGTCAAGAATCTTTCTGATAAACTTCATCCCCATTTTAAGACATTCAGAACCAAGTGTGTGACCATCCTGTTCTAGGGCCTTCTGATGTATTTTGTACAAGAGGCTGTAAGGCACTGTAGCATGAGTACCCTGAAGTAGTGCTAAACCAGAGAGCATCTTTGGTAGTGTGAAGTCCTTTCCCACTCCTGTGCAGATCTACATTGCTTACTTTGCTTAATATGGTGGTCAGCTTGGCCTGCCCTTGCTCCCTCTAACTCCTGGGCTCTGCTTTGCTGTCTCAGTGGTCCCCAGTTGGAGTTCGACAGCAGCTCAGTGCCAAGCCTTGTCCTTGGCTCTCTGTGAGGGGAGTGGCAGGTGCCTTCTCGTGTCACTGAGCTCCTTCATGGCACAACAGACAGAGGCTGTTTGGGAATTGGGGTTATCTGCAATAAATCTGTACCCTGGTCATCTCACAGCTCCTGCCACTAAAGACACTGGCTCCTGTGCCAACCACAGATACTGCTGTGAGTGGTAGCGTCAGAAGATGAATGGTACTGGCCCTGCTTATTAGTTCAGGGCCCTGCTTGGTCTTTTTAGCATTTTCACTGCCTTTTTTATTTTTAAAGGAAGGTTCATATGCAATGTTTTAATCTCAAAACATTCAGATTAGCAAAATGTGTTCTTATCTATGTGGGAATAGCTTTTGGATTTTGCAGAATTGACCTACATTACATGTTTTTCCAGGCATAAAGTGATCTTATAGTTTGAAACCAGCTGTTTGCATGTTTTTTCAATCATCATAAACACCAAATAACAAAATCAAGATGAATTAGCTTGTAGAAACAAACTCTGAGGATCACAGCCTTCAGGGAAAGAATTTGTTTTGCTGACACTTGTTGCCCTAATTTGTACCTCAGTTTAAGAAATAAGATTAAATGTAATGATAACTTATCATACAGAAAAGCTGGAAGTAGAAATAACAACAGCAACCTGTAAATTTCTATCGATGCACCAATTAGTTTCAAAATCATCATCATCTTCTCCAAATGGATTAATAAGCTGTTCAGCAACCTGAAAAGAAAATGAGACAGTGAAGAGATTTTGGCATGCCATGTCAGGACTACTGCTGCAGAGAAAGTAAGACTGGATTTTTCTCTCTCTCCCTGCCTGTCATTTGCAATCATAGCTTGATCCCCTGTTTGATGGTTTTGCCAGCCTAGCGAAGGAACAGCTTGATTTCCCTATAGATTCATAACTCTGTGCTTTGCTGGTGCTGTCAGTCATGATTGTTGGTGCTGGCCTGCTGGGAATTGAGACATGTCTGGCCTAGGGTAATTGTCACATAAGATAGTCATTACCTTTCCTTGCTGTTGTCTTTGGCTCATTTAAGTGAATGGTTCAGCAGCTAGGGGCTCTGTCACTGCACTATTGTCTATGATAGTCTACCAGCCCATTGGGTCAGTATCCCCAAGCCTTGCAGCTGGAGTTTGCTGGATGGAGTAGAGCTTGTCTCTCCAGCTCAGCCCTCAGACCCTGCTTCTTTATCGAGGTTAATCCTATTGGCAACCTTCCACAACTTTTCAAGAAAAACAACCCACAAGAACCTTGACTCAAGCAGACTCCATGCATCATGCTAGCCAAATCCAAGAGACGGAATCAGAGTCTGTTCTTTAATTTAGCCTGCTGGGTTGGGTTTCTGTACCTGAAGTGATTGAAACTGCAGGGCAGAAGCCCATCCTGTGGAGGAGATAAGCAAACAGTTAGCTCAGGAACATTGGTGGTGAGGCACCTTAGTCTGGGAATGAGTCTGGGAAGAGAACCCTTTCTGGCTACCCACATCCAGTAGAAAAACAACCAGAGACTGCCCCTTCATCCCCATGATCACCAAAGAATTGTGGGGAGAAAGAGCATAGCCACTGAGGGTGGAAAAAAAAAGATGAAAAGGAAAAAAAAAATGGTTTTAGGAAAAGCAGTCTGCTTCTCTATTTCTTACTTCCTTGATACACTGAGGTTAAATATTCTCTCCCCTCCATGCTTTTTCTCCTTCTGTTTATCTTTTTAAGCCCTGCTTTTGAAGCCAATCGCATTCTCGATGACCCTTCAAAGCCTTCCTAGTGGTCACTACGGCCATGCACAGAAGCAGCAATCAGGTCCTTGATTTAATGTGTATATGGGTGAAGAAGCTGTATGATTAAACAGTCCTGCTCGTTCACCTCACTATGAAGAGCAGCAGTCACTCCCTGGGTATTTTTCCTATGTGCCTCTAGGCTGTGCCCATGGCTAAGCTGGCTCTCCCAGGCCATCACTTCCCAGGCCATCACTGGCCGATAACAAAGGAACTGCTGAGTAGACTAACCCTATGAAAACACATGTAAGGAGGAATGAAGGAAGACAGGGGCACCTCTGCTCACACTCGTTGACTATGTTATTAAGTTCTGGGTATACCTATGAAAGTGCTGCAATAAGAAGGAACCAGAATGCAAGTCTGTGCTGTGGCTCTGGATCAACTTTGTGTGAAGCAGAGGTCACCACCCAAAAAACTTATCACATGAGCTTAAAAAAGCGAGCAGCACTGGGACAGAAGGAACGGCAGTGGTGGCCGTTTGCTTGGCTGACCTGATCCTGGAATGTGAGGCATGGGTTTATTCTCCAGAAAGGAATGTAGTGCTGGACAACTAAACTCTGTATTTGGACAGTTCATCTATCCCTGTAATGAAAATGGGGATTTAGAAGTGTCTCATGTGATGGGAAAATTTGGCCCTATATTGTAGGTATAACACACCAGGCTTGAGGCCAAGGAATGAGCTCACTTTAGTCATTATTTTTGAGGAATTGCCAAATTACTGGAAGTCAATATCTCAGGGCCCATTTTGCTGCCTGGCAGGCAAAGCCCAAAACACTCAGCAGGAAACCGGCTGTAACCTTCAAGACAGAAATATCCTGACTCGGGGCACTGAAGGTTTGGATGAACCTCCGGTCTGAGGGAAAACTGCTGATGTTAAATTAGCTTTTTAAAACTTCTTCTCCTCCCTTTCATTTCTTTATCCAGAAGATTTTTCAGTTACAATGGCATCTCATACCTGCTGTATCCAGGAGCTGGCTGGAAGCCCTGAGCCTAACTGGAAGAGATGCTACTAACATCCTTCGGTGCTGATGAAGGGGAAACCATTTTCCCTCAGGAGCACCAGAAGGGCAGTCAAAAGGAACAGCTTACAGTTTTGTAACCAACTAGTAAAACCCTGGAAGACATTGCCTAGAAATAAAGCCTCACTTTTCTCCAGGAGAAATTGTTACCCTCAGTGCACCAGCCTCCCTTCCTCTCTCTCCTGCTCCCACCTGAGATGGTCCCTATGCAGCAAACCCCTTTTTCCCCCTGATTTCCTAGGACATAGGACTAGATGAGCTTGCCCTGCAGGCACTTTACTTTCCCTCACAACCTGCCAGCTGAGTGTGCTGTCTTCTCTACCCTTTGGAGCTGGCTGGGAAAAGGGGGCTCTAAAACTGGCAAATTTTGTGCAATGTATATTCTAACAGAAACATCAGAAGTTTCCTCTAAGTTTCCAGCCATGATAAATAAACACAAAAGGAAATATTAATGTGCACAGACCCTAATGTACCAATTTGATTTTTATTTGAAACTTTTTTAGAGTTAGTCTACTTCAGAGGAGAGAACCACCTTGAGGTACATGGCTTAATTACTCAGCTATGAGACTGATGGTGATATGTTAACCTAGCAGTCATCAATGGGCTGATGGGCCCATCCAATTCCTTCTGTAACTCTTTTTAATGAATATTTTTATGTAGTGCAGTTTTAGCCAATCTTGGCTGTGACTCTTTCATAGTCCCCTGGAACTGGAGACCTTTAATTGCCTGCACGTGATGAGGTTAACAAACAGCAGATACTAGAGACTGGCTTTGATTACAAGAAGAAAGTATGATTCAGTCCCTTTTAGCCAATGCCAGGTCTGCAGCAATATTTCCCCACTGAACAGTGGAGTGGGAGAAGGGTTTTTTTTAATCTTTCATCTGTCATTTTATAGGCCGAGTCCTGAGACCTGATTTGTCTGGAGTAATATTCCCCTGGGGAGTTGCGGCTGCATTGGTGCTACTCAAATGGGCTCTTTCAGGTTCATGACCATTTCTTACTGTTCAATCAGGTGGAATTAAAAATGTATTGCATGATGTTTCTGTATGACCACAGCACACTTGGGGCTGAGTTCAGCTTTGGTGTAACTCTGGTAATCTTTGGTGATTTTACAGTGTGTCACAGATCTGACACCTTGACCAGCCCCATAGAGAGGGTCCCCTCATCACCTTTCCAGAAAGCTAGTTTACCTTGAGCCATCCTGCGTAGAAGAAGAACTGTAACAGTGTGAAGATTGGAATGTAAATATCTAAGTCATGGCCCTGATACCCTTGGTCAGTATCCAAAAACTGGCGTCCTATCAGGCAGGCAAAGAAAAAAGTATAGACTGCGAGAGTAACAACCTGCAAAAAACAAAACTTCATTGAAATAATTGAATAATTGAAATAATGGAATAATACAATCTTATGCACAAAGCTACACATACCCAAGGACCTGTGTCGGACTTTTGCCGTATAATTTATGAATCTGTAGGGAGGTATTGCGAATAGGAAGGCCACAGGTATAATTATGACCAGGAAGAACACCCAGGAAACATAAAAACATTTCAGTGAATGTTTGGTACCAACCTCCCCATTTATGGAAATCGTGTTTCAAATTTACTAAAGGAAAATAGCTCAGTACCTGGGTATAGACCAATGGAATTCCAACCCAGTCATATCCAAACAAAAGACTGCACCAAGACCGGTATTTATTCATCTCCTAAAGGGAAAACAAACAAACAAACAAAAACCAACAAACCCCAACAAAATAAAATCGCGTGGGGTACCATTATGAATTATAAATGTTTTGTGACAGTTCATTTTTGCACATATAAAAGGACAGGGAGATATGGAAATATAGTATATGTAAATTGATACCATAACTATATCCAGCACTCCTTTTGAATATTCACTTGGTTTATGGAATTGGAATGCTTAGTATTTTATGTATTTCTTCACAAACTATCTTCTGTTTCTATCTTATCCCCAGTCTAGTGATACATGAAAGAGAATATATTATATCATAAAAAGGATGTTTTACCACTTAATTAAATATTCAGGGAGATTATCTTCCCTGAAACTGATATTAAAATCTTCAAAATGCTAGATTATTCTCATTTCTCATATTGTCAGCAATGGAACAAGTATGAATTCACAGTGATGTTACAATAATATTTTACTCTTCAATTTGTTTCTTCTTTTAATACCCTCTTAGTCATATAAGAAGAATCCTAGAGGACTGCTGCTGTGTGTTTTTAAGTGTGCATTGGTACACAATGAAAACTGGGATAAATCCTGAGTAAGATAATTTAGATGACACAGGAGATCTGTGCACATTAAATAAAATCAATTGTATAAGTGAAAAGCTACCACATAGCAATATCAGATTAGTTTTCTGTAGATTTACTTCTTCTACTTACATTCATCAGTGTCTGCAGATCTACGCTGTCACGAATTCTTCCCTCTTTTCGTGCCTTTGATGCCAAATTTCCAAACCAGACAAATGGGACCCAGTATTTCAAGTGGGGAGACTTAAGTTCATCAAAAAGTTTTCTTTCATATCTTGTCATGAAGCCTGTTTCCCAAAAAAAAAAAAAAAAAAAAAAAAAAAAAAAAAGGCTTAATTTATTCTGTGCTTTCAGTGCTACTGATACTATAAATTTTAAATATGTTTGAATCTGTTTATGTGATATTTGCATAGAACTCTTCTAAACACAATTTATAATTCTAATTAGTAACCTACTCTTTTTTTTTTCTTTTTTTTCCCCAAGATAGATCTTGCTTGAAACAACTTGGTTTTGCATTAGCTATCTATGCAAAATTCCTCTTTACCAATATTTTGCAATAGTTTGCTATTACTGTGTTCTCATATCTGACTGCTGACATACTGTAGATACATATAATGCTAAGAGTTGTACAAATTACTCTCTAGTTTCATATTCTGCTTTCAGAAAAGTAAGGAACAGGATATATCAGTCAAGAAACTATCACTTTTCAGCAATGACAGCTTTCAGCAGCATCTCAACATATGTTGTGAAGGCAGTTACACGACCTTCTGATTCTGATCATTTTTTGGTAAATTTGCAAAGCAGTGAGCAAGCAACAGAGGATACAAGTGCATTCATGAAACAGAGCTCAACAGAGAGTGTGCCTTCTGCCAGTGAAATACTTTTCTGCCAGATTGTTTAATGTTTTCTTTGGGGTTATGAAGGCATGCAAAGAGACGGAGGGGGAATCGTGAACAGAAATCCCGCTGCTAATGGGACACTGGGCCAGGTGACATGCTGTGGGGCTGCGGGCTAAAGCTGCTCTCTGCCTGGCAATTTGCCATGCTGGGGTGCTGGGAAGGTATTATGTTTCCTGAATAGTTCCCCTGCCCTGTGAAATCCTTCTTCTCCCTACTGCAAGCAAGTCCATGGTCAAATACCAGGGGAGCCAGGGCTCTGTGTGACAAAACCTGCGTCAGAGCCAATCACTGTCTGGGACTTGGCAAGGGAGCAGCTGGGTTTTGGAGCAATATCTCTATCCCATTTGTGCAGAAAGCTCTGCTTTGCTGTCCTCCTTTCACCCAGCCTTGGATAAAAGCAATTTCAGAAAATTCCCATTTTCCTTTGTCCAAATCCTAGATTTTTGGGGATTGAAGCAATCTTCAGATTTGGAGGAGCCTAATTTTTGCTCAGATGTGTGTCATCTAACAGGGTGGGTATAAAGCTTCTTTTGCTGTGTTGACATTAGCTCTGAAACAGGACAAAGTTAGTAACGTGACAGCTCCAAAATAAGTGGCTCAGCCAATCAATTATAAGTTTGAATGCTGAAAATTCAATAAGGGAATTGAGAGTAGATTCCAACTAGTAACTAAGGATATGTCCAAAGTTGCTAACATTGCTAAAGATACGAGGCAGCAAAAAAAATAAATATACAGAAACTTGGCTGTGTCATATAAAAATGTGAATAAGGATAAAGAAAATTTGCTAAACACAGTGACTTTCTTAAATATTGTGTTGTTGAGGAAGATGGCACCGTTGTGCAGTTGCAACAAGTTAACACAGGAGATTTGAAATACTGCAACTACTGAGAGGGAAGGCAAGGACAGGACAGAATATTCTGTGATAGAGGAAATGTTCAGCAGCAAGACACAGTACTCCTGCAGTATCCTGGAATTTGAGAACATAATAAGATAAAGCTTTTAAAAGGCCTCTGGGCAGTTTGCAGCCGGCTCTCATAATCAACTGTACAGAAATAATCAGGCAACCAGACAAACTGACCTGTTAGTCATAACTCATGACTTCTAAAATTCAGTCTTTTAGGCTGCCTTCCATTTCTATCTGACCAGCCTGATCATTATAGGACAGGAAAAGATGTTTCTGTCAGGTTGAAGCAGACAGACAGGATAACAGTCTGGAGTAACCACTGGATGCAAGTTACTTGGAGGCTCTGGGAAGTCATTACATGGAAGGACACACTCCTCCTGAGGGGAGTCACAAAGAATGGCAAAGCTCCAAGGATCAATTCAGCTTTCCCACTGAAACTGGGCACTTTTGTTCAGGAAAGCTCAACAAAGTTTTGTTCTTTGAATAATAAAGTTCAATTTGACATTAGACCTAGTATTCTTACTGCAGAAAATACTAATTCACCAGCTCTTACTGCTGGTGAAGGTGATGGCAATACAGACAACATATGGCTCAGAACCACTTGCTGTTATTGCAGTGGTAAAGAAACATTTTATATTCCATCAAATGCAGGGGAAGATATCAAACCTCAGTTATTAAAATTATATGGTTTCTAAATGTGGTCATACTATTTGTTTTTAGGAGTATTTAAAGAATTAACTGAGAAACTCTCTAAAGAGCACTGGTTTTTACAAGCACTGGAAGACTGGAGCAGCTCCAGAAAACCAGAAATATTTGGCAAATATTGTGCCAAGATCTTGAAAAGGATGATCTAAGGAATGACTGAATCCCTGTGAAAGTATGAGAAGACTGACATAGGGCGCAATCAACAAAGAATCAAAGGGCACTAATGTGAACAGTGCTGACCAAAGAGATCTTATGGGATAATTATTGATGAGAACACAAGCCTGGCTGGAAAAAAAAAATCACTTGTGCTCTTCCTCAAGTGATTAGAAGAGTATTCAGTTCTCCTGACAAAACTGAATGGTTTGAGATAAGACTGGTTCAGGGTACCCATATAAAATATCCTGAATACTAGTGGTTACAGAAGAAGGAACAATGAGCAAGTAGATAAAAGTTACACTTTCTGCTTCTGTGTTATGTGGCAAAGGGTTAATCGATGCTTCCTTCCAGTGGAGGATTTGAGACTGCAGACTTCAGCCATCCTTAGGTATTCCTGTGTTGTTGAGTTCACACCTCATGTTTCTCTTCAGCATTTCCTATCAGCTCTTTTTGGTGGCTCTCTCCCCCATGGCTCACTCTTTACTCTGTTTTTTAAGACTTGTGATCTTGAGCACCCAGCTTCCCCCTTGCACCTTGCAGCCAGCAGAAGTGCTATCTCAGGACTGCTGCTAGGCATTTGACACTTACGTTATGTGTGCTGCAGCACTCAGCATCTCAATGTCATGAATCTACCTGCATCTGCTGCCTACAGTTCCACAGGGAATGTTAGAATATAAAAGGACTCAGGAGGAAGGTCCAGCACTGAAGACCGTATCCTATAGGGAGAGACTACATGTGGTGAAGCTACTGAGGTTTATTCAAGCCTTTTTGCACTCTGCTACCAGGTAACTATTGAGAGAAAAATGATGTTTTCATCTAATTAAAAAAAAAGAACCCAAAACCATTACAAAATCCAGTGAATAGAAGATGACACTGTGCAAGTTCAGACTGAGAATAAAATTGCCCTCTTCAACAGCAAGTTCAAAGAATGTCTGTTCACCTAGGGTGCAGTGTAGACTCCAGTATATCCAGCTGAATTTTAAATCTGGGCTGGTTGTATTCCTAGAAGATATTACAGCTTAGTCAGAAATTGCAACATGATAAAGGATGCTGTTAGTAAGCTTTTGTGTCTTGTGTTATGGATGAGTCAGACTAGATTATCATGATCCTGTTCTCAGATTTGAAGTATATGAATTTAAGCAGTTCATGTGCTGAAAAGAGAAATGTGTAGCAATAGTTATACTGTGGCAGTTCGCAGTTTGACAGCAAAGTCGTCACAAGTTGTTTCAATGATGACTGTGCTGTATCACATTCTGCTGCTCACATTCATATTAAATGCCTCCCTCCCATGCAGTCTGATACGCAATGCCATAGGGAGCTAGGGAGGGGGTGATTGCAGAGTGTTGTCTAAATCACTGGATTTTAATAGGAGCAAAATATACCCTGAGGTGCTCAGTATTACATCAATAAAAATTCCTGCATCACAATATGCATTAAAACTTACAGAAGAAGGACTGAAATCTAGAGCTGACTACACTATCAATACTTAGATATACAGTTTATGTTGGAATATTTTCCACTGTTAAAAAAACCCCAACAACCAAAACTTGTTTTCCAGTCTACAATTTTTGGACAACACTGTGACATTCTGTCTCTTTTGGAACAGATTGTCTTTAGCAATAGGGAGGCAGAGCTGGATTAGCTGCCTGGAAATGCTGTAATTTTCCAGTGCGTAGTAGGAGCAGGTTGCTGGGGAGAGCGACAGAAGCTTCCTTGACCTCTCACAGGCTCAGGTAAACACTGTTGTTGCACAGCAGAAGGAAAAGAGTTTCAAAATCCAATGAATCCAAAGTAAATGATTTTTTTCCCAATAAGATTGGTGCATTCTGCCTGGACTTTTCTTAATATCCAAAGGTTTTCACACATATTTAAAATGTGCATATGTATATACACTGCATATTTCAATGTGCTGCAACTTTGCTTATTAATCTCTGCCAGAGGAAGAAATTTAAGAAATGAAGGACATTCAGTAAAAAACATATGACTTCTCCTATTTGGAACAGATCCCCACATCTTTGCACTGGTGTTCTACCTCTGACTGACCATGCCAGTCAGAAGGCACAGTGTCACACCTTGCCTTTAAATACTCAGTGGTCAGTCCTTCATAAACAAGCAAAGTGTTACATGACTGAACTCCTTTCAACATCATCACATTCACTGTGTTATCAAAACAAACAGAAAATGAAGACATGCTTAATGAATGCTTTTTTAACATTAAAAAACTTAGTTTAAGGTAAGGTTTTGAATTTAAAGAAAAAACCCTTGGGGTGGAGGGTTTTTCTAAGCAAATCACAACATTTAAAATGTCTACTTAAAATAAATTGAGATAAAGCTGTACTCGTGAAGTGCTTGCAAAGATCAGTTTCTGATACACAAGACAAAGTTATATCCTAGACATTGAGGCAATGGCATATAACAAGTTACCATTCCTACTGCTTCACACTGTATTGCAGCTTTTTTACTTTTCGTGCTTTAGAAAATGTTATACCTGCTCCATATACCTGAGTGTTTGGGGCAGGCCTATTGCCACAGTGTCTGAAAGAAGATTCACATAAGAGTCTTAGACTCATTTGATTTCTATAGTGTTGCGAAATGAAGACTTTAGGAGTATTAAAGATGCATGCTTAAGGTCATGTCATTTAAGTCACTAACAAAAAGGTGACTGCTTTGACGTGGGGAAGTATGGGGCACACGTGGGGCCACAGAGGAAAAAAAAAAGAGTCTGGCTCTTTCTCTCCCTGTGACCCCAGCTCTAAGAGAAAGGAAAGCAGGACTCCGATACCTGCTCCTACCACGTGGTCCATGGTGGGGAACCTTTTGTACACGGCTGTGCTCACAGAGCGAAAGATCAGCAGAGACGTTAAATTCACATAACGCATGAGAGTCCTCCTTAACAAGCGCCCGTACTCATCTCTGCCCTGGACACAGCTAGAGATGAGGAACATCAGACGATCTGGCCATGGCAAGTTCACAAACTGGTTCCACCAGCGATTCACTACCAAAGTAACATAGAAACCTGGGGGTTAGAAGAAAAAAAAAGTCAACGCCTATCAGGATTTCTGCTTGGGTTACTTTGATTTAGTTTGCAGACTATTATTCGTAACACTAAGCTGCTACATTTCCCAGAATAAATGCAGTAAGTCGTGTCAAAGCCCAGAATGCCATCAGTGCTAATTATTTAATAGACACTGCAACTTGATGGCACGTTCCAGCTGAGTATCTCAGACCCATGAACTTCCAAATTTCCTCTTCTATAGTGAAACTTAAGTGAATTTAGTGCCTTGAAAGATCAGGCATAATGTATCAGTGTTAATTGGCAATATATATATATATACACACACACATATATGGAAACCTTTTTTGTTAGTATATTAAGAACATAAGCATAAATGTTGATGTGACAAAATCAACTTGATTTAAGGAGACCTGTTGGAAGATGATGATTTATTGTGAGCCTCTAACATCCCACACGCCCCTCAGCTCTGAAACGCTTCCATGCATGGACATTCACAAAATGTGTGGACAGAGAGAGACAGTGTTACAATTTCACATGCAACCGGTACTTACCAAGCACAAAAGTTACTGGGATTTGTTCAGCATATTTGTCACAGTAAATTGATAATTTTTCAAAGAACCGTTTTTGGTTACCTGTAAGAAAAAATCTGCAGCAAAAATAAAATGTATTTGTCCTTTCATTATGTTCTGGCACTAGCTACAAAGTGCAAATAAGTATAAATAATCAGGTATGTGCAATGGGGAACAACCTTGGCTAATGTCTTCAAGAGAATTCTTAAAGGTAACGTGCTGGACACTTTTGGCATGTATTAAAGAAGCTGGAGAAGACAGTATTATTCCCCGGTCTTTGCGGTTTTCTTATTACTAATTTGACTGGCACTACTAATTAGGATTAATATACCTGAAGAGAACCAGTTTGCTGCCTCATACTGAACAAGGATGATAGCTGTAAGTCTGCAAGTAGAGTTTGCTCTCCTTTTTCAGAGGGGTACTTAATGAAAATACTCAGGTCTGCTTGAATTGCAAAAGGTTACCAATCTGTAATTGCTTTTATTTGAAAATGTTGTTGCAGCAGTTTTTTACTCTTACTCCTATGAAATTTTTCTTTTCCAATAAGATTTTTCATAAGATTAAAACCACGACAACTTTATTTATTTTGCAGTGCGGAAAATATTCACCAACTTATAGCAAATGAGCGGACTATGGCAACAAAATACAAAATAAAACAAGATTAAATATATATTTTTTATTGTATAGATGAGTATTATTACAGTTATTCTTTGATTTCATAGAAAAGAAATATATAAAAAATATTTGGTGGGATTTGTTTACACTTGTGCAATAAAAGCTGTAGCATATATAGAAAGCTTTCCATGGTGTATTTATCATGGTCTTCAATTGCCTGACATTTCAGTAAAACCAGATTAATTTAAATGAATGTGAGTCTCTATTGTTTCCTTACATATTAATACTGTAATTTTCTTTCTGAGTTTATAGGCACAGATTACTGAACATTTTGGAAAATTACTGATTAATCATAAACTGATTTTTTCCTTGCTTTACATAAAAAGCAGACACAGGTATAATTATGGATCATGGTAAGAGCTGAATCATTATTGTGATACTTCTGTGTAGTGTACTTCATCAATTACAAGTTTGACTGCACTAATTGATGCATTCCATCTGTCATACAGCTGTTTAATTCACACCTTGGTGGAAGAAGCAACTCTTCTAACTGATCCTCCCAGGTGCTGGATGACACACAGATAATAACCATGTCTGGCTTCCATGCAGTTTTCCTTGGCTCTCTGCAAGCCTAGAAATAAGGTTTGCATGCCATCCTAGCTTTAAGCAAAACTTTGCTTTTCCTGGCTATATAATCTGACTCTCAACTTATTACCTCTTGGGGTTGTTAAAGAAATTACTACTGACTAACTAAAGAGTTCTGCAAGGAGAATAAAGGGTCTATACTGATTGTCTAAAGCAGGGAGGCACACTCACCTCCTCCAGCTCAATGTCAGAACAACAAAGGCTAAGCTATGAGTGTTTATTTAGTGTAACTTCAGTAGGATAGTTGCTCAATGCTGGGCTGAAAATACAATCAGCTGAATACAAGAGAATTTACACTCTACTTTCTCTGGAGCAGTAAACTAAACATGGAAAGGAAAGCACATCAGAAAAGTCCAAGGAAAAGATAATAATTATGCAGCAACCTCCTCCCACCATTCATCGGCCTAACACTAGGAAGTTTGAAACTTCAGTATAACATTTAATGAGATGTGAATTGGAAAGAGTGTACCTGTATAATACACTTATCGCTGTGTAAAGAGTAGCAAAAACAATAAATTCTCTGTACAGCAATTTGTAGATGCTGCCTTTCCACCTTAGGAGTAATCTGTGAAATCCAAAGAAAGTGGCATTTGCTACTTTGCTTGAATAAGTGACTGTCATCGTCTTGGCAGGCTGTGCCTAGAAACAGTAGAAGAGAAGCAGGAAACCAATAACATTTTAGACAGCATATCCTAACCTGAATGCACCCTTGCATAGGTAGACTCATAGATATACATGCATATATAAATATATAAAAGTATGTGTACATAAACACATGGGGTGTGTATTCATATATATACATATAAAGAGAGAGAGAAATAAAAATCTTGTAGTTACAAGCCCTATTGAGACTGCCCTGCAGATTGACTGATGCTAGGCTGTATTTGGGCTTTACCTCAAAGACCACCCAAACTCAAGAATTAGCACTGAATGTGGCCACTTCCCTGCGTGGCAGAGACATGTTACACCTCTGAAGTCTCTGCTTACTCTCAGTTTGCTCCAGTCTGCTGCGAGCAAAGTATAGGAAGTAAATATGCTTGAAACTTTTTTCCAAAACTTCTCAGTTTCTTGGTAAGAGAAGTAAAGCTAAATTGCACAAATGCACCTTCCTCCCCAGTCAGTATTTTTAGCTGGCTTGGTAATTATAATAATCTAAAAACCAAATGAGATTTGGAGACTCCCTCTTTCATTAGCAGTTACGACAGCAGCTGAGGTCAGCTGGGGAACTCTGTTGTTTCTCACCTTGACTTAACCAGACTTACTCATCAATACTTCAGCATTGCATGGCCATGCAAAACAAGCAACAAGGTTGCTCAGGTAGGCAGGGTGTAACACAGTATAATTAAAATGTTACTGAAAGTACATAGGTAAATACTTTGTGCTGTGTTTTTCACTTGCTTACCCAGTATAGGGAGACGCTACAGAAATTTTGGCATGCTTACAGAAAAATCCCAACTCTGAATGTGGGTGAAAGAGGTTTTATACTACACGCAAGAAAGGGACTAACTAAGATGAGCACCTCCAGATAGTTATTGTGTTTCACAAACATGATTCTTGTTTATATTTTCATGCTGCCACTGTAGGACATTTATACTTGGGGAAAAAAACCCTGAACCCCTAGTTAATAGATGACTTGGTAGCATTTCACGCAGCTTGGCTCTGTCTCTGATGCAGACCATAAAGTCTGCCATTAAAATTCGCTGTAAAAGCGCCACTTTTTCTTTGAGCTGCCAAGGAAATCAGTAGGGAAAAGACACCATAAGCCTTGTACAAGAGACAGGCTGTCTCTTTTCCTCTGCAGAATGGCTGCTTGACGTTTGCCAGTATGGGATTGGAGATTATTTTTTGTTATTGTTTTTTTTAAGACACATGGGTTATATTCTTTAGCATCCAAATGATAGCTTTCCTTTCCATGAACTTCAGCATAGACCTTTAAATTTTTTGTTGTCATTTCTGTACCCCATGAAATTCACTTCAGGAGCCAAACTGGCTGACTGGAATGCAGAAATGCAGTCCTGTCTGCTAAAAATCCTGTGGTCAGGATTCAACGCTTAAGAAAATGGAAAAAATATCCATCCTCTATCAGAAAGGGAGCTTTACAAACAAGGAAAGAAATCTGTGGGGGCTGGGCTATAGGGACTGGGCTATAGGGGAGGAATAGGGTAAAAAATACTCTTAAAAATACACTGAGTTTCCTGGGATCGCTCTAGGAGGCTTTAGGCCTTGGCCATTGATGCTGTGGAGTATGTATGTTCAAGCCATATCATTAATGAGTGTGTCTCTATCTCCCCACTAATATGACATTTATAATGGAAATCTCCAGTGGGACTAACTGCATGTATGGACTTGGATTTTGAAAAGGTGTCTGATAATGTGAGGACTTACAGCCCAGCAGGAACCTAGACCCTCAGTGTAACACAGTGCCATGATGAGAGGATGAAGTTAGCCAAATACAGGATGAAGTAAAACATAAATCGCTAACTGTGGGGCCAACCAAATGTCGGAACTGGATAGACACCCTGTTGTTCAAGGTCTTTAAGCTGAAAGCAGATAGTTGGACAGAAGATGACCTTCAGAAAGAATTCACAGAGCTGAGACATACAGGGTTGGGTCTGAGGGCTCTGCTTGTCTCCCTTGGTATCTGGGCATCTGTTAAACTTTTGTGTGGCCTCTTCTGTTGTGCGTCATGGAGGGAACAAGATTGCTTGCAGGACCCTCACAGCATCTGCAGTTCTGCAGGCAGGCAGTGCCTAGTGTCAAAAACACAATCCTCAGTTTCTGCATATGGCGTTCAGGAAGGATTCATTCCTGCCAGGCATCCCAGTGACTGGAAGTGCCAGAAACTGGTCAGTAGCTAAGCTGGACAAAATGAGTCCATCTCCTCTACAGAAGCAAATCCTGTTTTGCAAGGCCTAGTGGGTGGGTTTTGGCCACAAATGCAGAGCTGTAATGATAATAGGATTCAGGATTAAGAATATTCCTCCCTGCACTGGACTGGGAGATGAGAGTTTTATCCTTGAAGCGCAATTTGTCTGCTTGATTCAAGCAACCATATTTTACTTAATCACATCCCAGACATCTCTCTTAGCGCTTAACTCAATGCCATTGGTTCTGAATAGAAACTCTTCCCATTAACTTGGGAGGCACTGGATGCCACTGCTTTTTCTTTCTGCCTCTGAAATGAGGCAAACAAAAGTGGAACTGTAAGAGCAGTTTCAGGCTTTGGTGCCTTGGCTTCCTTGCTCTGCCTTGCCTTAGTGCACTGTGTTTTAGTTTCCTGCTAAGCAAATGCTTTATTTAACATGTAGTATTAGGTTCATATAAAGACTTCAGGATAATACAATTCAATGTTCAAAAATACGCATTAGGTCAGCTAAGGTGATTAGAGAATGCTTTGGACTGTACAAAAAGATATGGACTATTAAGGATAGAATTCTGGAGAATTCTGTTGTCTGGAAACAACTACAACCCCTTGGGTACAGCCTCCCCATGCAATGGGATGTTTTGGTGTAAAGCCTTGTGCTGAGCCTGGCTCTTGCATGGTGGTCCCAAGCCCTTAGTTCATGGACAGCATGTCTACTGAGAGTCCTTCCAACATCACCTTACTTATGGCCACAGGAACTTAAAAAGCTAAAACTGAGATGAACTGGAAGAGCAAAGCATAATGACGCCCCCAGCACATTCCTTTCCTGAGCACTGTTTTGGCCAGGGCAGAAGAAGGACAGAGCACATTAGGTCAGATACCACAGACACCAGTGTTATGAAAACCATTCCGATTAATTGTGTTGCCCTTAACTTCATTAGCAGATGTAGGGCCAGGTTGGTATGGATTTATGAGTTTTGGGGACACAGTACAAGTTATGCCCATTTGCTGCCTGTAGAAACCTCGACTCGTATCTATGATATTGCTTTTCCTTTTGCTCAGTGCTTATGCCCTCTCTGAACTTTTCTCAACCACAGGCTGAAATGTGAGTTATATATTACTCCTCCACTTCTGCTAAGATCATCAGAAGACTTTAGGCAAAAACACCTAAAAATATAAGTGCGTGTGTCCCCCATTAATATTGAGCCCAACTGTAAATGGGATTTTTGTCTAGCTGAGAGTTTCAGGATGCATTAGAATTCAGAGGGAAACCACAGTAAAAAAATAACAGCCATCAGTGTTCTCTAACTGACCATGAAAGGCACATTACAGAATGTATAAATAAACAGTCCCTCTACACAGACCTACTCCTTGCCATTGTATCACCTTTTTTCTTGGTGCATGGCATAGGAGAAAAAGTGAGTGAGAGAGATTTGAGTCAAGCCAACTGTAAAAACATATTAAGCTCACACTATATCCACTGACCTGCTATCTTGATTCGGCAATCCAAGCCCAAAAGTAAATCCTGGACCCTTCCTCTTTCTCAGACGTCCCAAACAAAGTCCCCTTCAGATCTGCGATAGTCACCTTGCTCTTCCCTTAACCTGAAGCAAGGGGTTGCTGCTGCCGAGCCCCAGGAGGAGTGGACTGACAAGAACAGGGGTTAAAATGTCTTTCCACTTCTGGAAGTCTGTTTTTGCCAAGTACTCTGTCCTGTCAGTTACAGAGGGAACAAACGCAAGCAGCAGCAGCAGCAGCAGCTGCTGATCTTGCTTTTTTCTAGTCTATAATTATAACGCCACTTGCCATCAGAAGGACCTCTTTCATTTGAATAAAGAATCTTGCAATGGTTTGGCTGACACATACAGTTTTTTGCGCTTTATTTTCCTCAAAATGGGATGGACAAGAAGGGAGCATTTTGTTGTGAAACTTCTCTTGAAAAGTATGATCTCTCTAAACTAGCTCTGTGAAGACACATCAGTGAATAGCACTGACTAACTATATCTAAACAGGAAGACCGAAGACAACCCCAGCAAACCTGAGTTTTTGCAGCCCCAGCTACACCTTGGAGCAGACCTTTTGCTGCATTGCTGCCCTGCTGATTTGAATTGGGAAATCAGGACTCTGGAGTATGCTGTAGAAATCACCCATCCCTCAAAACAGGTGGAGTTGCTGATACCAAAAGTCTCGGTGAGCCTAATCAAACTGATAAATTTCAGCATGTGAAAACCTTTCTGAAACTGGAGAATCTGCATAGGACTTCTTTCCCCCTTCTCCTTTGCAAAATGAGATGAACTCTGTCTTTTATGGCCCATGGCATTAAGAGTGAGCTGTAAAAGATGATAGGCTGTGAAAGCCCAGGAGATGTCATATAATGTTGTCATAAATCTCTACAGAGAATGAAATAATGTGACTGTGAAGTAAATAAAAAAAATTGCAGGGGGAGAGAGTAAGTAAGATTTATGGATTTAATACATTTTATGATGAAAGGTTTTTCTCCCTGCCTTAGTCCCACTAAGCTATTTGAGACCATTTATTTAATTAAAACTCTCTCAGAAAGAAGTTGCTGCCATTGTTTGACTTTCTTCTTATTGATAATGGCTGAAGGAAGACACTTTGATGTCAAAGCAGGCGAGACATTAGACTGTGGCATGTGTGTGTCAGGCAGTGGCCTGTGGCAAAAGATGACAAATCATTTTAGCATTCAGTGACTTGGCATGAAGAAACATACTGCCTGATCCTATTACAGAGACTGCCCTCTGCAAGGAAAACTAAC